TTTTAAAATATATGTCTTCTCTAGACTAATAAGATTGAATAATACGTTCTTTTAAAATATATGTCTTCTCTAGACTAATCAGATTGAATAATACGTCCTTTTAAAATATGTGTCTCCTCTAGACTAATCAGATTGAATAATACGTTCTTTTAAAATATGTGTCTCCTCCAGACTAATCAGATTGAATAATACGTTCTTTTAAAATATATGTCTTTTCTTGACTGATCAGGTTGAATAATATGTTATTTTAAAATATCTGTTTCCTCTAGCCTTACCAGGTTGAATAATATCTAGGTATAAACTATCTGCATACTCTAAACTGATCACGTTGAACAATATCTACTTATAAAATATCTGCATACTCTAGACTTACTAGGTTGAACAATATCTACGTGTGAAATATCTGCATACTCTAGACTTACCAGATTCAATAATATCACTTATAAAATATCTGCATACTCTAGCCTGACCAGGTTGAACAATACTACTTATAAAATATCTGCATACTCTAGACTGACCAGGTTGATTATGACTTACTTATAAAATCTGTCGCCGTCAAACTAACTATAATGATACTTAGGTTCAATGATCTAATTATGAAAAATCTGTCATCACTAGACAGGTACTTTATTTTATTTATCTGCCTCAAACACAAATCATAAAATTTTATATAAAAAAAAATTATTTAAAATACAAATCCAAGTATAATAATAATAATATATATATATATATATATATTTATACACGCAAAGTATTTTCTGTTTAGATATGGCCAGGTAATTAGGGCGCTCGACTCGCAATCTGAGGGTCGCGGGTTCGAATCCCCGTCAGACCAAACATGCTCGACTTTTCAGCCGTGGGGGCGTTATAATGTGACGGTCAGTTCCACTATTCGTTAGTAAAAGATTAGCCCAAGAGTTGGCGGTGGGTGGTGATGACTAGCTGCCTTCCCTCTAATCTTACACTGCTAAATTAGGGACGGCTAGCGCAGATAGCCCTCGTGTAACTTTGCGCTAAATTTAAAAAAGAACTGTTTAGATAAACGCGCAATTTTCTTTACAATATTTTTCAAATACTCAAAATGGTTTTCATGGAAATACATGGAGCGATCTATTCGGTTTACCACTAGTATAAACTGAATGCAGAGAAACAGTCTGAAAGTCATTGTTCTCCTATTATATTAGTTTGGAATATTGATAATAAAATTTCGTTTTAATTTGAAATAATCACATTAGTTTATTTGCCAGAAAAAAAAACATTAATTATATTTTGGGACGTCATATTGAGAATTAAGAGCAGAATACTCGTAAATATATTTCCCTAACTCTTCAGAAGGTTTGTTTGTAATTAAGCACAAAGCTACACAATGGGCTATCTGTGCTGTGCCCACCACGGGTATCGAAACCCGAATTCTAGCGTTATAAGTCCGCATACATACCGCTGTTCCACTGGGGGGGGGCTCTTCAGAAGGCATATCAATATTGAAAATTGTAAAACTTGTGTGTTTTTATGTTCAATGAGAAAAAGTTTTGTAAGTATGCTTAAAGGTATATCAAGCGAAATAAATAATTTTTTTAAGCAGAATTTCTTAACTTCCATTACGAACATAGCACGATAAACAAGGAACAAATATTGGTGTTTCTTAAAAACCCCAGTGGCACAGCGCTATATCTGAGGACTTAAAACATTAGAAACCGGGTTTCGATACCAGTGGTGGGCAGAACACAGATAGTCCATTGTGTAGTTTTATGCTTAGCTACAATCAAACAAACAAATAACTATAAGAATATTTTATCTTCTTTCCTAAGTGAGTACAAGAAAAAACTTGTCAATAACATTTCACTTACCAAGAAAGCGTATTTATTTCCATTTTTTTTTACGTTGTCAATTTAGAATAGAAACAAAATACAAAAACATTTATTATTACTTATTTTACTTTAATTTTCACTCACCCCAAACTTCTACTTTCAGAATGAAAAACTTAGATTTTTTTAACATAATATGGTGTGCAATAACCTACTTTATCTATAATATGGTGTGCAATAACCTACTTTATCTATATAATAAATGGTGTTTTTTAACATAATATGGTGTGCAATAACCTACTTTATCTATATAATGAATGGTGTTTTTTTAGATATCCAAAGTTGAATATACCAGACGAATCCTGCAGCAGGGCATCATGACTATAGCAGGGACCAATAATGGCACTACTTCTGTAGCAAGAAAACCAAAATATATCAGAGATAAGGGATTTTGAGATAAAATCATGTGGATGCTGACTTAAATGACTTCAAAGCGTCTTACTGAAAGAAAATAAAACGCTGATAAAAACTATGTTGTCACAGCTTCCCTTAAAGTTCTTCACAACTAGGTAGTGATTGATCAGTTCAGTAGAAACTTTTGAATAAATTAATTATGATATTTAAACTATATCTGGTCATTAAAAACTGCCCAACTTTTATTTTTCGTTGTTTGAATTAGTTAAATTGCTATTTGTATAATTTTGCTTGTTTTTAATTTAAGCCGTCCCTAATTTAGCAATGAAAGACTAGAGGGAAGGCAACGAAAGTATATTTCAAAGTGTATGTTGGTATGGGATGTAGATTTTCTTTGACTTATTTAAAACATCCAAGAAAAATCCACTTTATTTTCAATTGTAAAAGCAGTTTTCTTTTTCCGTTACTCAAGAATCAATAGTGAATCCTCGGCTCTTATTCTCAGGTATTAAAGTATATTATAATAGGTGTATGAAATAGACAGTGATCCGTTTAAAAAAAGATTAAATCCATTACTTTAAAAACTAAGTGTTCAAAAACCCGAAAATCTTATCAAACTGGAGAATAAATGATCAACTTTTTGTGAATGTGAACTATGATAAATAATAAAGTGATTTTAATACAAGATATACATTTTTTATTACCAGTTACTAATAGTTTTATTATCTTTTACCAAAGTAACTTTCAGTAAAGTTCTATGAAATAAACCACTAATCAGTGAAGTAATTTTTAAATGATTTTTATGAAACGAAATCATAGCAATTAATTTCACAGGGCAACTGTTTTTATATCTCAAAATTAACAAAGCTTTGTGATTACAAAGAAAAAAAATAGTAAATTTGGCCTTGAATGATTTAACAAAACACAGAATATTATTGAAATAAAGCAATAATACAAGGAATTTTCTATTACACAAGTTTAAAGTTCAAATACAAATGTCTTTTTTCAGAAAATGTAATTAGCTGCATCTGTATTTTTAAGAAAGACATTAAACATTCACATTAACAGAGTTTCACCGATACTGATTAATACAATACAGTTTCAATAAGTTACCATAATGGGGGAAAATATTGCATTATCTATATAATAAAGACGCTGAAAATTCATACTTTTGTACTAGGAAAAAGCTTTCAATATCTTTTAAATATTAAATACTTTTCTTTCTTTGTTATTGTCAAGAATTTGAAATGTGTATGTGTGTGTGTGTATGCACCATAAATATAATTTTGATTAGAAACAACAAAACAACAGCTAATACAAAAAATGTATATGCTAATATTCAGCTAGAAGTTTATAAATAATTGAAATATTTACTGTTGTTTTGTGGAATTTGAAAGTATGTGTTACAAAAGCATTTAAAACTATTGTATTCACCAGTAAGATGATTGATAGAATTGTGCTTATTTATCAAAATTTTGTATGTGTTAATGAATACTAACTGAATACATTTCAGCCAAAGAGACCCTCTTCCCCAGTATTTCAGCGGCATGTCTGGGGGCTCACACCGTTAGAAAATAGGTTTCGACACTTTTGGTGGGCACAGCAGAGATAACCCATAATGTAGCTTTGTGCTAAACAACCAAAAAACCCGTCGAAGAACAATCAAGTTCCCAGTTACTATAAAAAAAAAACAGGAACAAAATACTAAAGAACACAGTAAGTTTTCTCTTGTCAGTTCACTACCATCAGAATCAAAAACACGAACATCTTCTACCTTACACTAAATTTATGAAGTAGTATTCAAGGTATGTTGTTTTACTTTACAGTGTTGACAGGGTATAATTCTTGTGCTCAGTAAACGGACAAGGAATAGTAGCATCCATCGGAAATAACTCCGCGGCTACTTAACGAACCTGGTCGCTCTATTGTGCTGAATACACCCATTGTATCGAAACCCAAATATATTTGCAAACAATGCGTTGCAGGCAGCCTCCTCTGCTTAAAAATAAACACAGTTCAATTTTCCTTATTTAGATAACACATTGAATGACAAAAGACAGTTGTGAACAGCCCATTAGAAAATCATATTGCTATACGCTCTGATCTAAGCCTAAGGGATTAAGTTGAAAGTACATTTGATATTTATTCTTCACTATTTTTAGGAAAACTACCGTTCAATTGTTTCAATGGGCATCTGATAGCATATAAGATAGGTTAAAAAACACACTTTACTCACATGTTATCGAGAAACACCTATGATGAAATATATCTATTTATATATTCTATTTTTCTACAAATTACCTCGCGACGTAGATGGTAAATTTCTTTGTCCAATTTTTATTATTTAGTGTCCTAGAAGAATCCAGTTAGTACGATACCATAACCAATAATTTAAACCTAAAGCAAACCTGAAAAACCTTCATAAAATTGCCATAAATCTGACCTATATATAGTGTGATAGACTTTTATAATTCATTAGATGTTGAACAGACTTATTATATTTTCAAAACATTGGATTTGTTTTCAGTGCTTTAAATACCTTAATACTTTTGTTATTATTTCTTTTATTTGTACCCTATTGGGTCAGCGGTAAGTTTATGAACTTACAACGCTAAAAATCTAGTTTGATTCCTCATGGCAAACAGAGTGCAGACAGACAATTGTGTAGCTTTGCACGACGAAAACAGTAGTAACATTTATTTTGTAAGCACTGTCTAATCACAAAATAAAAGCTGCCTTTAAGGAGGGGGGATACGTAATTAATAGGAAAAACTGGATAAACCATTCTCAGCAATTTCACTCATAATACGTCAGTTTAAAATCAGCACTGACAATTGAGAATTTATTTTTATACGTTTTGGAGACCGACTCTTTCTCACAGCAGGAATATCTGGTTGAAACAGAAGAAACGCAAGTAAAGTATGTGACGCCTTGACAATTGAGAATTTACTTTCATACGTTTTGGAGACCGACTCTTTCTCACAGCAGGAATATCTGGTTGAAACAGAAGAAACGCAAGTAAAGTATGTGACGCCTTTGTCAAACATACGAACATTTCGAAAGTTTGGAAATACCAGGAAATGAACTTAAATCCCTTAAGCGTAAAACAAAACTATAACTGTTATCGATTCATTCTAAAAATCTCATTAAGTTAATGTTCGTAGTAATGTTTATATTAAGACTGAACGTGTGTTCACCACTGCTATTTGCTCTGCTCATACAATACGCAGTGTACATTTGAGACCAAACTTGATTACAAACATCGGAAAGTTTACAGAGCTGACCTCGGTCCCTTTTCGTTTACCGTTTTCTCTTCACTGCTATGATCGTAAACATTTTACAAGTGTACATATTCCTATATCATTGTTTACTTGTAACGTATTCATTTTGTCGCGTTTACTAGCCCTGTTGGTAACAATTTTATATAAATTATTTTAAGCTCTACATTTATATGTGTTTTGGTTTGGCTAAGATAAAAGAATAACAGTAGGATATTTGTGCCCTGCCCACCACGGGTATCAAAGCTCGAATTTTAGCGTCGTAAGCATGCTGACTTACCACTGAGCCACTAGGGGTTTTAACATCTATAAACACTGCTAATATGCTGGCGTCCTAAAAAAAATGGGCCGGTCGTGATCTAGCGCGAATTTGAAGGTCCAAGGCTCCAGCCCATCATATGCCGCTGAACACTGTCTGCACCTTATAAAAGCGATAATAAATTGCACTGTTTGGTTAAAGTAACTATGTTGACCAATAGTTCAAAATTAGGAACTGCTATGTCTGAACCTTGGACCTTGCTGTTAGTCCACGTGCTACTAAAGGTGCTGTTCAGGTTAAAATACCAAATACCTAAATAAATACTCTTATGCTGAATACCCAGACTCTAAAAATAAAAACATTCATCGAGAGTAACTCAATCTTTTTAAAAATTTTAATAAAGGAACTTACCTTAGGGTGTGCTGTCGGGGGTGAGGTTTCTGTTTCATGTTTCAGTTTGACTGTTGGGCATTTAAATAATATTTTCAAGGTGCTGGACAAAAAAAACAAGCTACATTAAATGTTTCAAATCTTTGTATTAGTAAATATAATACCAAGTATGTATTCAATATATTTAATCGGTTGTTGAATTTCGTGCAAAGTTAGACGAGAGCTATCTGTAGTGGTCGCCCCTAATTTCTAAGTAATAGACTACAGGGAAAGTAGCTGGTTAACACCACCCACCGCCAACTCGTAGGCTACTCTTCAGACTTGACCGTAACTCGTATAACACACTCACGGCCCCAAAGTGCTGAGCGCAATCTTGTTTTTTTTCGTTACGTGACGTGATCAATAGACCCTCATATCCAGTCCGGCATGCTAGCCATTGGGTCGTGCTCGGCTTACATTTTGAATGATAAACAAGGCATTCTTTGTTACTTTGTAATAGGCATTTCCTAATAGCACGAAACCTCACACGTCCAGTTCAGTACTCTAAATTCTAATGAATGATTTTACTTATAAAACTGGGTGACCACAATAGATGTGTGTTTTGTTTGTTACTTTTAGCGCAGAGCCACACAACGTGCTATCTGTGCTCTGTCCACCTCTGGGAATCGAACCATAGGTTTTAGGGTTTTAAGTCTGTAGACATACCTCTAACCCACCTAGGGAAATAACATAATGATAACATAATGATAACCATGCATAATATTCTTCCGGTCTTGTACCAGAGATATTTCATTGACGTTTACTTCTTAATACCGTACCGAAAGAACAACAACACCTAGTGTATGTTTTAGGGACGAATACAGCTTAATCAATCACAATCACCAAATGAAACATCAGAAGTAGATTTGTCATACAATCATAACAACTTCTGCACAAACATGAAAGCTACGATTGTTGCAACTGTGAAACAACAGGGCACATGTGTAATAAACAACACTTGTGAATTGTGGAAGATATAGAGGGCGTGTTTTGTAAATGATCAAAAACTCCTAAACAAATAGATGTCCCTCCTATTTATCTTACACACGTGACTTTGAAAAAAGTGTATAAAAACTCACTATGGATATTACTTCAAGCAAGTCTAACATTAAATGATGGACACTTACATAAGAATGTTATTTCTCCTTCTCTTAGGAGTCATTCCTGCATATAGGGCTGTCTTCATTTGTCCAAAAGATGGGCTTTATCCTTATCAGAGTGACTGTTCCAAGTTTTACCACTGTGCTGCAGGATTTCCATATCTAAAAAGCTGCCCGGCTGGGCTTTTTTTCAATGCCCTGGTTAATGCGTGTGACTGGCCAGAGAATGTAGAATGTGCTGAATCAACCAGTTCGACAACCAGTCTAACCTCTCCTATTTCGACTGATTCAACCACACCAGAATCAATGACAACGTATAAACCACCACCAAGTGGTAAGTTAGAACACCACGACAGTGTGCAAACATTTGCTACTAATGTTGAGCATTTAGTTTTGAATAATGTACAACGTGCCAAATATACTAATGTTTTTTAATAACAGAAGTATCTTAGGTGCTGAAAGATTAGCTTACTTGCTAAAATATCAGTTAAATCCGTCTACTATGCACAAATTTTAGGGGTCAAGAGCAAATGTTATTTAATCTTAAGTGATTTCCAGAAAGTGCAATGTGTATATTAGCACCTCATCTGTCACTGCTATATTAATCAGAATATAGCACATGAGCTAATTACAAAGCTACCTAATTATGAAGATTTTCTCACCGTTAAGCCTACCACAAAAGCATTTAGACTGAGTGTTATATGATTGTATATTATCTGTTACCGGTAAAATAATAAGTTCATTTCAATTCAAATATATATAAAAAAAGAAATTAGTTACTTTGTTTATTTACACCTAAATTGTTGTCAGTATAGATAGGAGTGTAAGTTTTTTCTTCAATATTTTCTAACTGCTGTGAATTTTGTGGGAATATAGGGAGTAACCTTTTCAAGATTGTGTGCTACTTCACTAACTGGGCCTTTTATAGACCGGGGATCGGAAAGTTTCTTCCTGAAGATATTGATCCCACCCTCTGCACTCACATCAATTACGCCTTTGCCATTTTGGATCCTTCCACAATGACGCTGAAACCTCATGACACCTGGGCTGACCTCGACAACAGTTTCTACAAGGTAAGTCTGAAGAATGTAAGATCGGATGGAGTATTGGTTACACCAGAAGACATGAATGTCAGATCGGATGGAGTATTGGTTACACCATCAGAAGACTATCTCTCTAGTCTGCTTCTAATGTCGTGCCTGATTCATCAATACCAAAGTGTTTCCAATGTAATATTTGCTAAGAGACCTATTCGAGAGTTAGTGATCAAATAAAACTTTAGTGAACTTTTGTTTTATAATGCTGTTAGTTAAATGACAAAAATGTAGACCTTAATATTTCCATTGCATATTTAAATATGAAGGTATTTCAAGTTATCTTATGAATGTCAGTAGTTTAAACTAATGTACGAGTTTGTCATATGAAAAATAATCGGTTATCTAATACACCAAAGAGAACTTTGGAATTTCATCTTTCAATTAAAACTAGAAAATTAAATATAAAGCTAACTGGTAAACAGAATTAAGGTATATTAGATACTATAATTAAAATAGTACTGTGCATTACCTATAAAACATCAATTATTAGGGTTTCTTAAAACAACCTGTTTTATTACTTTTTTTCCAGAGAGTTACATCACTCAAACTGAAAAACCCTTCTTTGAAAGTCCTACTGTCAATCGGAGGATGGACAGACAGTGCTGGAAACAAATACTCGCGTCTAATTAGCAGCGCCTCCTTGCGACAACAGTTTATTAACCACGTGGTGCCTTTCCTAAAACAGTATTCATTTGACGGTTTAGATCTTGACTGGGAATATCCAGTGTGCTGGCAGACTCAGTGTGAAAATGGACCAACCGCAGACAAACTGAACTTTGCTAAGTGGGTTCAGGTAAATACAAAATGTCCTCAAGTTTTAGTAAGACACGTGGCTTTTGAAGAGTAGTTATTTGATATTATGTTATTATACTGCTAAAAATAACAAGAAAATAATAAATTTTACATTTTCAATTTCATGTTGATAAAGATTAAATATAGAAGAGCCAAAACTTTATTATGATCTACAGGACATTCTTCTCTTTCTTATATTAACTTTATGACAAAATGTCATTTCAATATGAAATGCTCACTTTAGTTTATTTGCCAGAAAAAGAAAGGTTGATCTGATTTCGTGCTATCATAACGGGCATTAGCAAAAAAACATTAGAAATAAGATTATCTCATTTTTCAATAAATTTCGCCATATCTCCAATAAAAACAATAATATTAAATTAGATATTCTAGAATTCATATGACTTTTTAATCAATGTAGGGATTATAAATATTTTTGGCAAACAGAATTCCTTGGCTTCCTATTAAAAGTGTAACTTGTTCAAGACAGGAATAATTCGTATTTCGAAGTCCCCAGTGGCTCAGCAGCAAGCCTGAATGCTTATAAAGCTAAAAACCGGATTTCGATACCTATGATGGGCACAGTACAGATACTGAGATAGTCCATTGTGTAGAGTTGCGCTAAGCAACAAAAACATTTCGAGTTTTTCAACTAAACACGTTTGAATTTATTTTCTAAATGAATTTATAAACTAGAGAAAAAATGCTTTTCATAAACTATTTTATCTTTCATCTCCTTTAAAAAATGAATAACTAAAGTATGTAAAAATTCAACAAAACTTCATCTAACGTTTTTTTTTTTCTTGTTGTTGTTGTTGTTTTTTTTCGTAGAATGATCACATGTTACTACGATGGTTTAACATTCGATACTTTTAATAAGGCTTTAAAAGACATGCTTAACCTTCCATATTCTGACGTCAAGTATTCATAGGTTTCGTCTAAGATGGCGATTTTTATTTATTTCTAACGATTTATTTTAGGAGCTTCGAAAAGCTTTTAATGAACACCATCCGCGGCTTCTTCTAACAGCAGCTGTATCAGCCAGTAAACGGATTATTGACGCAGCTTATGACGTTGGATCATTATCTAGGTACGTCATTTTCTAATGTTATCCCATAATGATCAAATTAAATCACTTCTCATTCTAATCAGTTTCATAACCATGAACGACTGTATAAGGTATTTGCATGATTATTAACTGAATATACTAATTGGTAAATTATTTCAAACCCAAACTAAATTAGTTGTGCTCTGACCTTAAAACTAATGAATAGAAAAAAAAATAAGACTTAAATATTGGTGTTATGGTAAGTTTTTCATTTCTACAGGAATTTGGATTTTATCAACATTATGTCTTACGACTACAGTGGCTCACGTGACAAAGCAACAAAACATCACTCGCCACTTTACTACCACCAGAAGGACAAAGACCCAGACTTTAATTCAGTAAGTAACCGTCTAGTATTAATGTAAATTTTCTTTAATTATATTATATTCATATTTCACTTTTATAAGCTGGAAATGTGCCTACGTGTGCAATTAACGTTTCTGTAGCTTTAATTCGAAGGAACATTACATTTTACTAATAATTAAGTGTAATTTTTCGTTACGTTTTCCTGCAAGGAAATAATAAAATTCATTATATTACAGTATAAAATAACAGATCAATGGAAACTGGCACTTTAAAGCTAAAATCTAAAGCAAACAATTGAAAAAAAAAAAAACGAGTAAGTAATCGATAATTGAAATGAATCAATAGCTGAGAAGTGAAAATGTTATAAACATTGAAAATAAGTAATAAAGTCAGCGAGATTCATATAAATAAAAATACATTGAAGTACGCTCATTTTTAGAGGGGTAGAAATTTACACTTTCGTAAAGAACATAAATGTAATATATATACCAGTTCTAGATTGTCTGTCTTATTATTAATCTGATATTCTTTGTAGTTTATTAAACCACAGAAACTATTATTATATTATCATTTTCAGAATTTTTCAATGAACTACTGGCTACATAAAGGAGCTACACCTACAAAACTTGTAATGGGTATTCCATTTTATGGAAGATCCTTCACTTTGTCTAATCCAAGCAGCAGTGGTTTGAATGCTCCCGTGAAAGGCAAAGGATTACCTGGAACGTATACACGGGAAGGCGGGTTTCTTTCTTATTATGAGGTACATATCGGAATTATTAACTATTTCAAACTGACTAACCCTAATTTTACCAACTCTTTACTTAAGTTCACAATCGAAATTGTCTTTCTTATTTAATTTTAATTTACATAAACTTTGACAAATCTAACTTCTGAATGAAAACTTAAATAGTTTGATAATATGTGTACTCATTTACTTTCTCTACAAAACATTATTTTTCGTTTGTTTCCAGATATGTTCTAGAATTAAGATCCAAGGATGGATAAAGAAGACGGACCCTGCGACTGGACCTTATGCTTATGGAATGAACCAATGGGTAGGCTACGACGACCCTGCATCTGTGGCAAGAAAAGCACAATATATCATAGATAAAGGATTTGGAGGAGCAATGATGTGGTCTCTTGACTTAGACGACTTCAAAGCGTCTTGCTGTAAAGTAAGATTTCCGCTGCTGAAAACTATTAACTACGTTTTACGTGGTTCGCCTCGAAATCCATCAGAACTTGGCTGTGAATGATCAGTTCAGCGTAAACTTTTTAATAAACTGTATCCTTGAAATTATAATTGGCCAATAAAAATTATCCAGATTACATTATTTGATTTATTTATTTGTTGTTTATATAAATTAATTTGTTTTCAATATAGGCCTTACCTTTCACTATTCAGTATAATTACGATCATAGAGCACCCTGTCGGGAGGGAAATTAATATAGTTTCATAATGTTCACTTAATTTCGCCCCTTTTTCTACCTTTGCTTTATAAAAAAATTGTTTGTGAAAATTTACGTGTTTTATTGAAATGCATGAGTTAAAACTATGTTTATTTAAAGTTTTACTTATAATAATAGATTATTCCTACCTTACCCAGAACTTATTATACGAAAAACTTATAATTATTCATAAACTTTGTACGTTCACAGTGCATTATAATATTGAATTTCCTTATACAGTGAAACAAAAGACCTTAGTTACTCTACAAGAGCTGAAAAGTGTATTTGTAAGTTCCTCTCTTAGGAGATAAGGACTTTACTTGCCTTATTTAAAACATTCATGTAAAATCCACTAATAACATTTCATTTCAATAGGATTCTTCTGTTTCCTTTACAAAATATTCAAGAAAGAATAGAATTAGATGACTAGTGATTCCATGGCTCCTATTGTTAATACTATAGGTCTGAATATCAAAACCATGTATGAAACGGACAATAACTGATTGGAGTTATTAACCCAACGAATAAAATAAATAAAAACAACAAAACACCAACGTAACTTGTGTTTTCCAAAAACTCTGTAATCATAACGAACTAGAAGATAAAAGATCCAATTTCATGATAAAATGAATAATGTTAACTAAAACTGAGGCCCGGCATGGCCAGGTGGTTAGGGCGCTCGACTTGCAATTTGAGGGTCGCGGGTTAGAATCTCCGTCACACCAAACATGCTCGACCTTTCAGCTGTGGGGGCGTTATAATGTGACGGTCAAGCCCACTATTCGTTGGTAAAAGAGTAGCCCAAGAGTTGGCGGTGGGTGGTGATGACTAGCTGCCTTCCCTCTAGTCTTACATTGCTAAATTAGGGACGGCTAGCACAGATAGCCCTCGTGTAGCTTTGCGCGAAATTCAAAACAAACTAAAACTGATTTACAAGTAACTTTACCGTTAGTTATTACTCTAGGTCTTTTAAATCTTAAATTTTGTCTCTTGTGATTGTTTGCTTTGAAATATATACCACAAATAATCATCACTTTGACCAGATACAATAAAACTATAATCACCATAGATAATGCAAATGCTAGTAGAAAGTCAAAGAATTATAAAGTATTAGTTGTCAGACTCGTTGATGAAAATTTTAATTGAATCTTTAAGTATGTTTCATCATCCTACCACCGAATTACCACACATACACACATCTTTAAAAGCTTTCTATCCTAAATTTAATTTTCAAAATTCCTCTGGTGGTTTTGCGCACTAAGAAGCTTGAACACTTATAACAGTAGAATTCGGGATTTGATCCCAGTAATAAACACAACGCACACAAACCATTTTGTAGCTTTACGCTAAAGAAAATAAAAAGCACTGTCGTATCATATTGGATTCAAAGTTAAGTTTTTCTAGGATGGAAGTAAAATTCCCGCTATTAATGAAGCCTAAAAAAAACAAAGGAAAAATGTTTTCATTGATGAGTCATAATTTTGTGAACTGTTTATGATTAACTTTTATGAATTATTTTAACTTGACAAATACATAATATCAGGACTGCATAATACTACTCGTCTGTGGTTTGTTAGGAAAAGAACAACCTTCCTTCAATAATTGTTTTACTTGAAAACGAAATTTGTATTTTTGAAATGTTTTTAAAAGGAAACTGTGTCAAAAGACTTTACACATACATATTAAGGAATAATCAAATGATTTAGTGTTTATAAAACTTGAGCCTCCCAATGGCACAGCGGTATGTCTACGAACTTACAAGCTAGGAATCGGATTTTGATACTCGTGGCGGATAGAGCACAGATAGCCCAATGGGTAGCTTTGTGCTTAAACTACAAACAAACAAATGAAACTCGAAAACTGGGGAAGGACGGACGTGGCCTAGTGATCAACGTGCCCAAACTATGAAACTGAAGTGTAAAAAAAAATCACAAAGGGGTATTTTGATTAATGCCAGTTTTTACCACATTAATATATATATCTAAATCTATATCAGCTTTTGTAAGCAACTAATCAAATAATACAATATGTATTAAGATATGTATGATACCTTAACTCTTTGGATACCCGTGGCGGGCAGAGCACAGATAGCCCTTTGTGTAGCTTTGCGCTTAACTACAAACAGACAAAGAGTCTATGGATACTCACGCCATTTTTGAGGGCATTTTCCCAACGAAATCGAAGTAGTAGAAACTGGAGATTTTTTTTTAACTCGCTCAGTAATTACATATAGATATTCAGTCATGTGCGTGTGTGAACTATATTATACAATTAAAGTTTAGGTAAATTGTAGCAACTGTAACTTCCAATGCTAATCACCTACCGAGGCAAATAAATCAAAACGAGATTTTCCTTTTTTAAAAATTACTATACAAAGTTTTTGTTTCCTGTTTAGAAATTGGTAATTTTAGATTAGATGTATTGCTTTGATTGTTATTAGATACATTTTCACGGCAGCTAGTTAATCCATCAGAATTAATATTGGGTTTAAATTTAAATGTGTTGTAATCGCAGCACAAGTTGGTTCAAATGTTAATTTTCATCATTCTGCAAATGATTCGGCCTTGTGTTCTCCCATTTATTTCTTTGCTTGTCTACAATATCTGACACGCATTATTTATCAACCATGAAAAATAACTAAACGGCTACCTACTATTATCTAGCAAATACGAATACAAGAAAAGAGGTTTATTTAGAAGTACTTTGACATAATAATTTTCAAATTTTCTTCTTATATCGACATTGTGCCATTTTTTAAAAAGCAGAACAATAAAGAAATGGCGAATTCTGAAAAGTATTAGTTTATCATTCACATTCAATCCACTTTATTCAAAAGGTAAACAAAGTGTTTCCATTGACTTAATGAACTTTCCTCCAAACAAATTGTATAAATGTATTTTGAAAATTAGTTATCACAGTCTTAGGAGGTTCTAATACCTGAAATCTATACCACAAAATACAACTGATAATTTGATTAAGAAATAATGATTTATTTTTTAATGACATAAAAGGTTGAAAACGTCTCCAAACTGTAATACGTTTACAGCATTTCTCTTTCAGCTCATCCCAGTGTCTTTGAATCTATACTGAAGAATTTTCCAAATACACTCCAAATACTTTTATTCCGTGATTTTACAATGCATAGCCTAATTTATTTTCTATGCGCATTTTCCAAGCACCAACCCATAACCAAAATATTTCTCTGGTCCAGAATATATTTTAAATTACTTTGTTATGTTTTCAATAACATTAAATTCCTTTTACTGTCTAACGTACATTTTTTCACCAGCATAAGACGATAATACAAGTCTTTTATGATTACTCAACTTTGATATTATTCTAGAAGAACTTATTTGCTTCCTTAAATTATAAAGAAAATTGTAGTTCTATTGCTAATGTAAATGAAAACCCCACATATTGGATCTTTTTATCTCACACCTCTCTTTAAAGAAACGTCTAAAGTTGAAATAGACCCATGGATTACATAAGATTTAGTATTTTTATACATTGCGTCAACTGCCCTTATGATATTCTCTCTAAAACCGAATTTTGGGGGTATTTTCTTCAAATAGTTATGATTTATGTGGTCAAATGATTTTTCAAGATTTAAATTTACAATAGCTGAAGATTTTTTTATTTTGGTTTGCAAGATTTATTATATCACACATAACATGTATATCATCATAAATGCATCAATCTGGAACAGAGTGAGTCTGGCTTTCATGAAACAAATGAAAAAATAAAAGGTTTTATTTTGTTCCTTATGGCCTTAGAAAAGATTTTATAATCATTATGTAAAAGTGATGCTGGTCGCCCATTTTTTAAATAATTTTTTGTCAGAATTTAAAATATTTTTATTTCTCTTTTTCGCCATTTGTCAAAATAAAAGACTTTTATTTATATTTCTTAATGCTATAAATATATACTGTTGCGTCAGCGAGTCACATGACCACCGTGACGCAACGTTTCTAGAACTATCAT